GACGACCAGGGAGCAATACTCCGTACTCGCCGGAGTCTCCATTAGCGGAAACATCTCTAATGAATCGAACGGCGACGACTTTCGAATTGAATCGAATGAAGCGGCGGAGATCGAAATGACTAGCGTAGGAATCTAAATACTCCAAAATCTCGAGATGAGAAGGAAAATCGGCGTTTTCTCTGTTCGGCCAGGGGAAATCAGCGAACTCGTAATCGCAGCGAGGCGACTGAAGCTTCGTGGAGTGATAAGAACAATGCTTCCAAACTCCGCCGATGCAATCAGTAGCCTCGAAGACGACCGGCTGGTGGTGAGCTAGCTGCTTGGCGGCGGCGATGCCGCTTACGCCGGCGCCGACGATGGCGATTTTGGAGAGAATAGGAGCCATTAGGGATTTGAATTCTGTATGAAATTTGATGTGACTTGGGAAATGGAAAGAACGAAGGGGCGTTTATATAGGCAGTTGGAGGCACGTGACGGGCACGTGATATGTCCTTTATATATAATTTAAATAAGATTCAACCTTGAAGAATTTTCCTTAAATTTTATTCAATCTATAGTCTATGTATGATTTCATGTCTCTATTGAATTCCTTTCCATATTCACACACCAATATTTTTCAATATATATATATATATATATATACACGCGTGTGTGTACACGTGTGAACGCATACTAATTCATAGTTCGGGAATTAATTGCAGTTTTATATTCAATCATACACTGTATCTATACGTACCCATCGGTAGTCGAGTTAATGTAACAACTCAAACGGTAAAATCCCACGAAACATTTCTTATAAGGGTGTGGAAACATCTCCCTAACCGTGAGGCTAACGACGATACATAATGAGTCAAAGTGGACAATATCTACTAGCAATGAGCATGAGCTATTACAGTTAAACTACGAGTTTAGTCTTTAAAATTTTAAAATTAGGTCAAATAAATCCCTCCCGAACTCGTCCTCGTCTCTGAATAGCCTTCTATCAAAAGACCCGTGCTTTTGTTCAATATTTGAATAGTCGTGGGAAGATGCTATCGTCTTGTTTGCTACCTCGTCTACGAAATCTAATTGTTATATGAATTATGACTCTTCCCGTAACTAGAAGCTCGAAAACGTGATAGAAACATTATAATTTAATAGCAAGAATCTTTTGTTCTATCATTCCCTTGTTTAAAATTAATTACTATATTAACCAAATTTTGTTTCTAAAAATGGCTCTTTAAAGTTGATTAAAGCAACCTATTTAATATTTATTAACATTTTGGAAATAGTTTGGAGTATACTTAACAAATGGGTATATAAATAAATAAATATATATATATATATATATACATAAATGAATGAGAATTAGTCAAAATTGCATTCAAGAGGGAATTTTTTTATTTATAAGTATATGAATTATTTTAATTGAAGGGAAAATAAATGACAAAATAAAATATTATTATTTTAATTAATTGAACTATACCTTAAGTCGATGATAATTTAAATATTTCGTAAATTAAATTTTTTATTTTTTGTTTAGAAAATAATTAATAAAAAGAAATTTGAATTTTTCAATTTTTTTTACTTCTATATAGACTTGACTTTTGACTTAGACTTAATTTCATTAAATTAAAGGGAGTTTGTATAGTTAGTACTTTTTCAAAACTGAATTTAAAAATGTTTATGGGAGAATTAATTAATGAATAAATCACAAATTCAGCTTAAAAAATGCATAATCAAATTTAAGTAGGTGAAAAAAGACTCGATATCAAAACCGAACTAAAAAAGTCAAACATTACCTAAATTATGGAACCGTCTTAGATTATGGTTTAATACGGTAACATTGCATGTTTTCCCCGTCTCAACTCTTGTTTAGTTGGTGAATAAAATTTTCTCCTCGTTCCCTCTCGATTCTCCGTCTAATCAAAGTACACAAACTTTTAATTTGACCAACTCGGATTATCTAGTTTGGGTTAGTTTTTTTTTCTCTCGATCTAGGTTAAGTTGAACGTTAAGAAAATTAAAAATTCGGGTTGATTCATGAGTTGACATTTTTTAAGTCAACCCGACCAACCCCAACTTGTGGATAAGATTTTTTATTAAAAAAAAAAAAAAGCCGGACAACCTAATCCAATCCAACTTGAAAATAGAGGGTTGAGTTGTGAACTCTATTCAGATTGCTGAAGTCACCAACCCGAAAATATACACGTGCTTCTAACTTATTGGTCGAGAATAAGTTGCCATTAAAAAATATATTATTATTATTATTATTAATTTTGGGCGGAAGTTTTAATATTAAAAAGTGGATTTTTTATATTAAAAAATAGCATTGAATCAACGGTTAATTACGTTGTAAGCTCGTACGGTCGTGGAATTTATGAGTTGATTTAATTTTTTTAATAAAATTTTGACAATTTCCAATTTCCCAAACTAAAATTCACGAAATGGTTAATGAATTATTCAAACTCCATTTGACTTAATTAATTAATTATTATTATTATTATTATTATTATATGAATAAATAATTTCATATTATAATACCCATAATCTATGATTATTTTTAAATTATTTGTTAAGCTTCTATAATTTATTAACGCGTAAATTATTCCAATTTTTTTAATTTTGTAAAACTTCGGGTTTGGTATCGAGAGTTATTTTTTAAATTTAAATATCATATACTAAATATTAGAATAATATTTGATGCGACAAGCTGACATATAATACAAATAATAACTTAGGCTAACAACATTATTATTATTCCAAGTTCATGAATATAATTTTATGTTAAGAATCTTTTAGGATAACAATTTTGTGTTTATATTGACGTTTTCAAAATTTATAAAAATATTAATATGTTATGTCTCGTGGAAAACTTCGAAAATACGAAGCTTATAAGAAATTAAAGTAAAAATTTTCATGGGTTAAGTTGGATCGAGTTGTAAATTTTTTCAGCTCAAACGACTTTTATTAAATAATGAAAAACCTAGTCCCACCATGAATTTTTTTGGGTTGATACCCAATCCTAATAAGTTCATAATCCAACCTCGAACCGTACAGATTAGGGTTTTTGGGTCATTGAATATTTTGTTCTATTTTGAACCTTAAGAGTAAAATTTGAATTTGAGTTAGATTGGACGTTTAGTCTCTCAAGTTTTGGATTTTGACTTTATTTGGTCGGTTTGAACATTTTTTGAATTTTGATTATTTCAAGGCGGGGATTTAAAAATAGAAATGATTTTAAAATTTGATAAAATAATAAAATGTGAAAATGGGGTAAGGTTGAAGAATATATAAGGATTTAATTTTCTAAATAAGGACTTTTTCTTGAAGAATTAGAGACTTTCTAAGTAATTCATACTTGTTATGTATAATTTGTAAGCTCCACATTTAAGCAAACTTATAAATTAGTTGGAATTTTTGTTTAACTTAGTCAAATATGACATTAAATAAAGGGAGACGTGAAATTACCAAAAAACACAATCACAAAAATAAATAATAACAATAATTATTATTTTCTTTATTATTTTAAAAATTTTCCAAAAAAGAATTAAGCCAATTTCCAAAAAGGGTGATCAAACCACAAATTTATCTGTTGAATCCTTTTCTTCTTGTGTTTTTTTTTTAATTTTTTAATTTTTTTTTATTTTCTAAATTAATAAAAGTTCCTTTCACTCTTAAAAAAACAAATTGAATAATACTTTTTAAGAAATTCTAAAAAAAATAAATTAAAAAATATTTTTCCGACTTTTTTAAAAGCGAAAAAAACTAATCTTGCACTTTTAAGAGTTTTTATTTATTTATTAATTTAGCTTGTTATTAATGTAAAAGTTGTGATACTCTTTATTGTTTTATTTTATTTATATATATGTTTTTGTGAAAGATGCAATATATATATATATATATATTATAATATTAAATACATCAACGTTTCATATTTTCACAAAAATAAATAACACATGGTGTGACTTTTCTAGCTAAATTAAAAGAAATTTGTGACGGCTAATTTTCTTTTTATATTTTCAAAATAAAAGTATGATAGATATGAGTCTTGGTGGGTCGATGATGTCAACTATATTGAAATTATTAATTGTCGGTTGTATATATGACTCATGCTAAAGTGAAATATACAACTCAAGGGTAATTATCATGTACTTCGTTCTTTACGGTTGGAGATTAAAATATCCATTACCTTATTTACTGTATTAAAAGAATCGATCAAACCTCAAATAAAATTGAAATGAGAAATATTGATGATAGTATGAAAAAGAGTGCATGCTCTAGAAAAGATTTTGATGGAGGATTTATTTGAATTTTAGTTGATAGGGTTTTTGAATTCAATTCATGGCGGCACCTACATTTTATTGAACTCTAGATCACACGTGTTTTGAATTCACTTCCTATTCTCAATAATTCTTTTTTTTTTTAAATTTATATATAAAAAAAAAAATAATCTGAACCTAAAATGGTCTGGCACTCCTGGTTGCTTTCGTTTTTGGGACTTTATCCTTAAGGTTTTTAAAATGAGTTGGCTAGATACACGTTTCTGCACACTTAATGCTTCTTTCTCCTCTTTGGGCTTTCCGTCTTGGGCTTCCCCCAAGGTTTTTAAAACGCATTGCTATTCTCCAACCAAGGTGGGATCTCACAATCCTTCAACCGAAAGAGTTGATTGTGAGATCCTGCATCAATTGGAGAGAGGGACGAGTGCCAACAAGGACGTTGAACTCCAAAGGGGGGTGGATTATGAGATTCTACATCAATTGGAGGGAGAAACAACGTGTTTTTTGTTAGGAGGAGCACGAAAGAAAAAGCCCAAATAAGACAATATTTGTTAGTAGTAGATTTTAGTTGTTACAACAGTAATCTATAACAAAAATTTGAATTGACATATCACTTCGGGTCTGAGCCTTACCATTTCAAGTCCTGAATTGTATTTTAAACTTTCTAAGGATCTCATTTTGAAACGTTTATAAAGGATCAAGAGCTAAGTTTAGAGCGGAAGCAACACGAGGAGGAGGAGGAGAGGCAACTTGAAATTAGGTTTACCAATAATCATTACAAGAACACTCTCCATCAGCAAAATGATGGAAACGATTTCTATCTCTCACAATGATCTTCCGTTGAAACACCTTAGAAACAAGCTTAAGAGCTTGGTGACAGTCCTTACAGACCCGCAGATTCTTAGTGATTCGAAGCGTTTCCCCTGCTCGAGTCTTGAGCAATCCATAAGCAACTGCCAGTTTCTCACTATGGTAGTAAACAGGGTTGTCCTTCTCCACCTCCTCCTCCTCCTCGGTTACATATCCTACACATCTTATACATTCTACCATCTCCTTAACTTTGCCATATATTTCATTGGCTTCTGGGTGACCCCTTCCTCCTGCAATGAATTCATGCACCACGCCCTCCAATTCAATCATGGAAAACCCAGCAGCCTTCTTCACTTCTCTATCATTCATTAGCTTTCGTACTTCTGCTACACCGTCCCATCTACCGGCCTCGGCGTACAGATTTCCGAGTAGAACGTAGCGCCCGCTATTGCTTGGATCTAGTTCTATTACTCTCTTGCCTATTTCCTCCCCCATGTCTACGTTCCCATGGATTTTACATGCTCCAACGAAGGCACCTAACACTCCGGCGTCGGGACTCATTGGCATCTCACGTATGAGGTTCATCGCTTCGTCTAGCATCCCGGCTCGTCCATATAAATCAACCATGCATCCATAATGTTCTGTTCTGGGTTTAATATCGTAAACTTGAGTGAAATGATTGAAATAGTAGCGTCCCTTTTCAACTAACCCGGAGTGAGCACAAGCATTGAGAACATTAAGGAAAGTTATGTTGTCTGGTGTCACCATTTTGGTCTCCATGTCTTTGAAAAGCTCAATGGCTGCCTCTCCTTTCCCGTGCATAGCCATCCCTCCAATCATGCAATTCCATGAAGAAATGCCCTTTTCTGGCAACTGAGTGAACACTTCAAAAGCACGATCCAGGCAACCGCATTTACAATACATGTCGATGAGCGTCGTTGCAAGTTTCGAGTCTAATTTGATCTCACTTTTCTTGATGTATCTGTGTATCCACATTCCTTGTTCAAGTGCTCCCAATCCTGTGCAAGCTGATAACATGCTAGCAGCCATGTATTTGTCCAACACAATCTTCTCCGACCTCATCCGATTAAACAAAGCAAATGCTTCATGAAATCGATTGTTTTGGACAAAAGAAGAAATCATGGCATTCCAAGAAGCAGAGCTGCGCTCGGGCATCGACTCGAAAACTTGTAAGGCTTCATCTAGAAATCCACACTGAGCATACCCAGTAAGCAGAGTGGTCCATGACACAACATCGGGTAGCTCAATACCATCGAAGACCCTTCTGGCTTCTTCCAAGGATTGAAAATTAGCATACATATGAATCAAATTGTTCTGAGAAAATCTATCTGTTCTGAAGCCAAATTTAAGAACATGTCCATGAATTTGCTTCCCTTCCTCGATAGCATTATCGATGCAGCAAGCACGAATTAGAGAAGGAAATGTAAATTTATTGGGAAGGACACACTTATGCAGCATTTCCAAATACAACAGTAAGCAAGCTCTAGGGAATTGGAGTTGTAAGTAGCCTCTTATTAAGGTATTGTAGATGTATGCATCTGGGTTGGGGATTGTCTTAAACAAAAGAAGTGCATAATCAAGGTCTCCATTCTTGGATACAGCACAGAATTTGACAAGACGACCCATGGCATCATTGTCAGTAGAAAGACCAAGACGGATGATCTGGGAGTGATATTGCTTGAGCTCAGACATGGATGAGCATGACTTAAGGCCATGGATAGGTGATGTGTGAACTTTTGGGGAGTTGATCGGGGATGCACTGGGCTGAAGGGCAAGAAGCGATGACATTTTCACAAATTCCCTTAAACTCTTGAGGATTTAAACTAATTGTTTAACACCTCGTTGATCTAGATATACTTTAGTAATCCGAGTGATGTGGAGCAGTGAATCACTATCTTTCTTTCATCGGTACGGCGATCATTCCTGCTAAGATCCTAAGATCTTGAGTCTTTAAATGAATTAGCAGCGACAACCTTTACCCAGTCCAAATGATTGTCGACCACTTCTCTCTTTAGTGGAGCGAAATGCCACTTGAATCTCTCGAGTCGAGCTGGAGCATCATTTCATTTGTGAACAGTATTGTCTATTTCAGTATAAAGGCTGTAGAATATGCATACATACATACTTTTGATAGGATTCTGTAAACCTTGAGATGCAATTGAAAACAAAAACAGGAGGAATGCAATTTATGAAAGCCTTCAACCAGATGAAATGAAAATCAATTTCCTCATGTTTTCTTTGATCATGAAAAACTAGATTTCCAGCAAGAACACAAACGATCTCCAGCCCAATAGAGTATTTCAGCCCACCAAAACCAGTCATATCAAATCGAAGTCGTAATTAGTTTGAGTTAGAAACCTAAAGACTTGTAAATCCCCTAAACCAACAGATTTGATAATCGAATATGACAATATCTACTACGAATTGGTTGTGAGTTTTACACGAAGCAAAAGCAGCTATAGATAAGAAAAACGGAAAGCACAAGCACAGGTAATAATAACAAAAATCAAGAGTAAGGCGAGGAAAACATACCAGAGCGCACGAAAATTGGCGCGAATTTCACCATGGAACTGCTCTGACTGAGGACTCGTCGGCCATTTCGCTGGAAGTTGATTGCAACGAAATGGAGAATGCGAAGTAGAGGAATAGAGGAATACTTGGAGAGGGAAAATCCGAAGGAACCCTAATGAGAGTGGGAAGATAGAATCGAAGAAGAAGAAGAAGAAGAAGAAGAAGCAGAAGAAGCAGAGAGCAATTCAAAAGAAAAATTGAAGGCGGAAATTAGCGGATGAGAGAATTTCAGAAACAGCCACTGAGAACAGAGGGCCCTTTTATAGTGGATTGGACTAAACTTACCCGCCACCCTTTTTTTTTTTTTTTTTTTTTTTTTAATATCTGAAACAGTAAAAGCGAGCGAGAGAAAAGAAAGCTACGTGATCTTCTTCTACAATGTCGATCATTTTCTGTTCTTGACTCCGGCCGGTGATGCATCTCCAGACCACGAATCGGAAGCCGGTTGGAAATATCGCCTCAAAACTTGCACACGACATGCATCCTGTTCGATTAAATTCGAGTCTCAGAGATCGAACTGTCGATCGCCAGAGACTTTTTTGTTTTTCTTGGATAAAAATATGCTCTGATTGATTGTCTTTTAGGGTTTATGCGCTGATCTGTTCATGGATTCTGTTTGATTATTGCAGAGATGTTGAATGGAGGAAAACAACTCGAAAAGACAATAATACTCGAATTGATGACTGGTTCAGAACAACGAATTAGTACAAGAAACAAGAAGAAATCAATGACAGAAACAAGAAACTCTTCGTTGAATTATTCACATTTGCAGGAAGCATCCACATAGCTCTTTTATTAACGATTCTTGTGTAAAGCAGAAGCAACTCTTTTCTCTACTACGATGCTCCCCTTCCTTACAAGATCTTCACTCATCCACAGCCAGTGGCACAGAATCAGCCTGCAAAATTTCCACGAATCAGTACACATCTGCTAATACTACATTTTAGCTAAAGATCTTGTTGCGTGTGATTTCTTACCAGCTTGCGGTACTTGAGGGCGTAAAACATTTCCAAATAACGGCGGCTCTCGAGGCGGTCGAGGTTGGATACGTGCTTCCAGAATCCATAAACTCCGGTCAGTGTTAGAAGCCTCTCCGAGTAGATCTGCCATGTGTACCTGATGAACATTGCAAGGATTCATGAGCTCGAGTAGCTGAAGAACAGTTCGAGTGAAGTTTGAAGTGATTACTTACTTTTCGTAGATGCGTTGGAGGCCTGCTTGGGAGATTTTGTCCCAGTGTGTTGGATCTTCCTTGCTCTTTTGGAAGAAGTTCACAAGGATTTCAGCAGCCTGATCACCGTGGTATGGATCGATATGGAAGCCAGATTTACCATTGACAATGATCTCAGCAGGGCCTCCATTGCAGGTAGCAAATGTAGGTAATCCACAGGTCATGGCCTCCACAACTGTCAAACCGAAAGCTTCGTACACGGCAGGCTGCACGAAAGCTCCCTTCGTGTCTGCAATGCATCGATAGAGCTCGCCATTTCGTACTCGGTTCATCTGTGCAGAAATCCATCTAAATTGGCCGTTCAAGTTGTAGGTCTCTATTAAGCTATACATCTTCTTCATTTCAGCCTTCTCTTCATTGTCCTTAGATTCCTTCCTCCGGTCACCAGCCACAACCACAAGGTTAACCAGCTCCCTAAGGCGCTTGTTCTTGCCATACCACTCGACGAGTCCGGTTATGTTCTTGACACGATCCAATCTCGCCATTGTGAATATGATCGGCTTGGAACGATCTTTCAATACACACAAGTGTTCTTCATTCTCAACTTGACTATAAAGAAGCTCTTCAATTTCAGGCTGGAAGGAAGTCAGCCTCTTCTCTGTCTCTGTGTAAGGGAAGTAGATGCTCATATCTGCTCCAGGTGAAACTATGTTGAACTTGGGATCGAACACGTCGATTCCGTGGACGACCCGGTAGAGCCCCGGAAGAGTGAAGGCAGTGTGACTCTCATATTGTCCAACAGTATCTTTGCTGAGATCCAAAAGAATTCATGTGTAAGATCAAACACATATAACCAGAGACCATCAACAAGAATTAAACTCTTACCTGCCAGCAATCTCTTGGAACGTACTCGTGATGATGAAATCGGTATGGTTCATGGCAATAAGATCAGCTGTGAATTGGCATGAGAAGTGATACTTGTCCTCAAATTTCTTCCAATAGATATCTGAATCAGGGTATTTGGTTTTCTCCAAGGCGTGAGCAATAGTACACTGCAGAAGAAACAAGAACAGAAAATGCAAGCTCATGAGCATTTGCCAACAACAAGAAGAAACAAGAACAGTTTTTGGATATATCACAAACCTGTGTAACTCCAAGTTTATGTGCCAGCAACGACGCAACGATATTGCCATCGCTGTAGTTTCCGATGATCAGATCGGGCTTTCCCTGCAACTCTTTGGCAAGTTCCTGTGCAACATCCTGACAAACAACACAAGGATGGTTTGGTTCAGTATATAATCAAAGAAGCAGGCACAAAGGACAGGAGCGACGGAATCATCACGATAGGGGCGATAGAATCACCTCGGTGTAAGTCTCTAGGTAAGGCCAGACTTCGAATCTTGAGATCCACTTTCGGACGATGCCTTTCTCATTTCTGAATGGGACTCGAAGAATGTGGGCGTAATCAGTTCCGTATACTTTTTCGAGACGTTGTGTGCAGGTCGTTCCTACTGCATCTGGGAGGAGTCTGGTGATCTGATATCAACAAAAACAAGAACAGGACATCAAACATCAAACCAAGTGTGGAGAAGGTTAGCATGAGCATCTAAATTTGAAGGAGAAGTGACCAAGATCTTGACATTACAATGAGAATACGAGGAGTTATGTCCAATCCTTGGTGCTTTATACGTTGAAGCATTTCATGCTCCAAAGCACGAACTTGGTCCAAGATGTAAACCACCTGCATCAAAGAAATCAATGAACATGTCAGTTTAGAAGAACAAAAGAACACACAATGTTTGTTCTTTGTCTTGACAAAACTAACCTGGCCACCGGTGTCGGGGTAACCCAAGACGTTATCTTGTGCAAAGTAACCGTGGGGCGAAAGGATGACAACGTTAAAGACCATGGGGATTCTACCAAGGAACTTCTCGAGGGTGCAAGGATCAGGGGCCTCGAGGAGATCCAAAAGAAGTTGGATCATTTCAAGTACACGCTCGGCGGTGTCTCCCCACCCTCTCTCGAGGCCAATCTCCTGGAACTTCAGCGCAAACTCGGAGTAGGGTGTTGCAGGTGCAAGTGTGACTAGATACTCCTCTGCCTTCCTCAGCACATGTTGGAAGGCATTCAAGGTCTGAATTCTATCATTCAACATCATTGTCTGCAATAAAAACAAGTACCAATTCAATGCTGAATCAAGAGATAAAGAATGTGATGTGAATGAATTACCTTTCCCTTGTGGCAGTGAACTCTGAGGAAGTCCAGCAATGGCTGCAAGCTCTCTTTACCATGGAAGAGCTTTGCAGAGAGGTGACGGTTGAGGAACTCGACGCCATTGCCGATGGACTTGGAGAGCGTGGGGCGAGGGAAGGAAGCAGTAAATGGCTCAAAATCGAGCTCGAGAACGAAGTTTCCGTTCAGACTGGAAATACAATGGCCAAAAGGTATTAAAACTTCACAACCCAACCAGCTTTATTTCAACTTGAAGGATCAGAAACTTTTAAAAGCTTTACCTTTCATCTACAAGTTCTTCTTTGAAGTGCAGATATTCAGCAACTTGAAGCTGTTCAACGACCAGAGCGTGGACGTTAACTCGAATATATTCCCACACACCGGGCCTAGGACGAACAGCAAGAGCCACCCATGGTGGCAAAACTATGGATTCCTGCACCATGAAAGTAACTTCAAATTTGAGAAACTGCATATCACAACGCTACAGGTTTCAAAAGAGATCAAATTTACAAACCTGAGTGGATCTCAGAACTTCGCCAAATGCCCCATCAGCAAGTTTCTTTCGATTCTCTTCAGGAATTGTTTCAAACTCAGCAATCAGTTGATGATGTTGCAGGATGCCTTTTCCCTTGGCTTCAATCCTACAAACAAGTCAAAGTTTGATTTAGCTGCCATTTTAACGCTTGGAAGATCATGATCCAGCAAAAATGCAAGATGATCTAAACAAAGTACTTCGAGAGGAGGCTTAGGATTTCATTTCGTTGAGCGACTAGAGTTTCATCCAAGCGCTCGCGGAGGCTATGAACACGGTTGAGGACTCGTTCAGCCATGGCTATGTTCTTGGAGGATGAACAGATATCTCAGAAAAACCTTGGTTTGTTTCAGCTGCAAAAAGAAAACATCAAAGTAAGTGAATATTCCATTTTATCCCAAATCAAACTGTTTTGATTTCCAGCGATGAAGAAGATCAAGATTTCAAGCTATTTGACCATTATGAACTCTCTTCTCCAGTGAAGAAACTCAAAAGTCTTAGAACAGAGCAGAGAAACCTCAGTAGGACACAAAGAAGAACATGGAAGAACAAGAGAAACACAGAGAGATTACAAGATACAGAAAATCAAAAGAAATCAAAACTGGGTTCGTCCACAAAAAAGCCCTCAGATCAGAACAACAATGAGCAATGAACGAAGAACAAAGAAAACAGAGAGAAACAGAGCAAAGGGAATGAGAATCAACGAACCTCGGGAAATAAAGAGGGGGAATGTGAAATGGAATGGTGTGAAGATTGGAAGAGGCGAAAGGGTTTTTATATACGGAATGGATAGCAGTTCTTATCCAGCAGCTCGATTGCCATTATTACCGCCATTACCATTTCTGTGGTTTTCTTCTTCCTTCCACAAAACCGCTTCTTCTTCTTCTTCTTCTTCCTCGCTGGGCCCATTTTTTTCTTCCCTTTTCGATTTTGTTGCCATTAAAATCATGGGTTTGACTGTTCTTGCTCAACTTGATCTGGGTTTTGCTTAAATTACAAATTTTATTAATCCTTTTTTGAATTGAATATTTGAAAATGGGCGTTGTTCGAGCTCGGTGGGTCTCGGCGTCCAAGTGTAGTGGGTGGTTTTTAGCGCGGTTTTCGTCAACCACGAAACCTGTTAGCGCCCGCCACGTTGCCTTCGTAAAACCGCCTTTGGCTGTCACTTCACTCGTGACTTGCTCCACTTTTCTCTGTTCTTCCTTTTTATAATGATTTCTAATTAAACTTTAGCATCTGTGGTATTATCAAGAAGATTAATTTTCTTTTTGAGTTTTTTGTATTTTAATTACACGTAGATTTCAAAATATTGCATTTAATTTTTGGGTTTTTTTTCTTTTTCCTTTCTATTATTGAATTTAAATTAGTAAATTTTCGTTGATTTTGGCTTCTCGTGTCAAAATTTACCTTTCTCGAGCACTATATTGGTTTCTTTTCATCTTCTTTGTAGGTGACTTCTTAACTGGATCGTAAAAAGAGGGATTCTAGTTGTAAAATATCGGATGAAATCGTCGTTGGGACTGAGATCTCAAGCCGTTCCCAACTTGACTCGCTCTCAGGTTAACCCTTCTACTTGACTAAGTAGAATTCTACTCTTGTAGTGGGTGGATGATCTCGTCACGTCACGCCACCGGTGGAAGCAAGCTAGCCACCTATGTTAGTTGCCCTTTTTTCCTTTCACTAGTAAAAAGCTAGCTCCCTAGGTTTGTTGCTTTATTATCGAGATTTTATATACATATATATATATATTAATCGTAAGTAGATTTGAAAATATTACATTTTTACTTTTTAATTCTCGAGTTTATTTTCTATCGTTTAATTAAAATTAATAAATTTTTCTTAATTTTGAATTATCTCCCTGAATAGTACCCTTTCTCCGAGCTGTCTTTCTTTTACTCGTCCTCTTATATGAGCATGACATCACATTCATTGTAGGAGAATGTACAACCCTTTGTTGTATTCAAGTGGGGATTATTGGAGAGTCCGAAATTTTTGCTTTTGAAGTCTTTTTCTCATTACCGAAAATAGGTAGCGTGCCAATTATACTACACAAGACTCATCAAGACGAATCATATATTCGTCTATGGGGAACCTAGTACACAAAAAACGATATTTTTCATATGTTACAACAAGTATTAAACATTTGTTTCTAAAGTTCAATATGCAATGACATTACTAGTGCAAATGACTATTATGACGTATGGATTTTTTTGACGAATTTCTTGAGTTAAGCCAGGACTCGAGAACACTTAGAGCCACTGAGGAAGTCGTTGCTTATTCAAACACCGTCTTGGAGATCTTGGATGGGCAAGAGTGTGGATTAATCTCGAATTATGATCGAGTTATTAAAACACCACTATATTTTTTAACTTTTAAATATCAACTACAATATTAATTTTCACTCTCTCTTTAATATATATATATAAACAAATTTGAAAATTTAAATGGTAAAAATGAAAATCTTTTTCTTTTTACTTTTACCGAAGTTAAAATGTGAAAAAGAATGCCGGAATTATCGCACCGTCCGTCACGGTCATTTGACGGGACACTAAGCCAATCAAACTGCTCGATTTTCTGGTTAATGACGTGGCGTCCTACATTTAGAAAACTAATGAAATTGATGAATCATGCTCCCCCGTTTTGTTTGCACACTCAGCATCTGTGGGCCCCAAATATTTATTTTATTTTCTTTTCTTTTCATAAATATGCCCATTCAATAAATTATTCCGATTTTTCCTCGAATTTATATATATATATATATATATATATATATTCATATTATCCAAACAATTATCATTTCCGTGATTGATTACACGTGTCACCATTATTAATAGTTCTTTAAATAGATAACCACGTAATTAATGTCCAAGCAAAATAAATAAATAAATAAATAAAAACGCCCGAGTTGAGACGCAGGGACCAGAGAAAAAAATAAATCCTTTAATAAATAAACAAATATCTATATTTTTTTTATTAAATTATAACTAAATTAATTTAAATGAGGTTAAAAGTTCAATAATTTTAAATTTGTAAACAATAAATAAATAAATATTAAAAATGATCGAGTAAATTCAATAGTTTAAAGGGTTTTTTTTTTTTTTTTAAACTTTTTCTTCTAAATTTATAATTTAAATTATTTTATTTTATTAGTGAGGTAATGATTAAAGAAATGAAAATAGTTTGAGACAAGTAGATCTAAGATTGATGACGTGTATTTTAATTAAAAATAATAATAATTAAAGTCAACAATATTAACTAATTAAAAAATAATAATAATAATAATAATAACTTTTCTTGTGCAACACGTTTGATTTTTTCTTGAATGCCACCTGTCCAAATGCTGTGGGCTGCATTTTATCCACTTCCTTGGCGGCGCTTGGACCATTCTACCCTTTCTTGTTAGTGAGGGGTTGGAATTTTATTTTATTATAATTTTAGGTTTATTAGTGTTACACGTAAGAAAAACACCTGCTCACGTGGCCTCTATTAATAGATATGTTTCAACCGGCTACTGACACGTGGCGGGAGAAATGAATGAGTCGAGTATGCCAACAAAGCAGAAAACGACGCCACGAGCCAATTATTAATAAATATTCTAACGTGTACTGGTGACGTGGCTAATACAACTCGATAAATAAAATATAATTTTTATTATTGTTAAAATAAATTAAAAAATATCGGATTTATTTATTTTTAATGAATGAAATGGAAATTAACGTAAACGACCGAACAAATTAAGGGGTAAAAATATCAAATATTGAAAATTTTAGATAAATTATAATTAAAAATATTTTTAAATTAATTTATTACTATTTTTTTTAATAGAGTTTTTTTAAACAATATTGCTATTTTATTTAATATATATTAAAAATAACAACTTAAAATAAAATTACGTCACTCAAAAATAATCTTCTGTGGAGATTGGCTAATTTGTATTTGTTCTTGTACAAATATTTTATTGCAACCAAATAATTAATAAATTGTTTTTTATTAAATTAAATGTTTTTTAAAATGATAAAATGTTAAATAAATAAATATATTTTTTTATAATTAAAATAAAAGTGGGTAGAAAGACAAGTGAAAACGAAAGGATAGGGATAGAAAGTAATTAATAAAAAGGGTAGTTGACCTAATTTTTATTTTGTAGAGTAAATTTCTCTTATTTATATTAAATTAATAAAAATATTTCAAAATTTAACATCTTTTACCGTTATAAAAATAAGTTTGAAAAATTTATTACTGTTAAAATACGGACGAAAACCGTCTATGAATATCTCATAAATTATCTATAAACATTTTAATGTTATCCAGTAAATTTTATAAATATATTTTTTTTAAGTGAGTACTTGAGTAAATGTTTTTTTTTTAATATTTATAGGAGTTTTTTAATAATTTTAAAAGTATTTTTGAATTTTTTATTTATTTAAGAGTATGTTTTTATATTATAAATAAATAAATATATAATATTAATAAATTTTCTATGATGTGATGTTATCCGGCATCAATAATTTTATTATTATTATATTTAATTCCAATGAATGACGATAATATAATAATAATAATAATAATAATAATTATCTATTAAACCAACTACAGTAACTAGTCAAATTTTGGACCTCAAAACTTGGTAAAAGTTTGGTAGATAAAAATTTATCGGTCCAACTAAAATTTAACTTATTGTGCAAGCAAAGGCAATAAAATAATTACTTGATTTTCTAACTCTAGTTAAAGTTGGGTAAATATAGACTAGGTTAAAATTTGGTCGGTAAAATTTATCTGTCCTTTAGTTTGGAAGTAATTACCAATAGTAAATTTATTTTAAAACAAATAATTCAATTCCTCATTAATAATTAATATTTTATTTATTTAATACATTAATTTAAAAAAAAAAAAAAACCTCATTAATAAGTTTGTAGTCACAGGTTTAAAAAATGTGTATTAAAATTTAAAATAGATAAATATTATATATTGAAGATATTTAAATTTATATCTAAAAATAAATATTATATAGGTTTTTTAAAATTATTTATGTCTTTTAAATTTAATTAATAATTCAAATATTTTTAAAAATCAATTAAAAAAATTAAAAGGTTAAAATCATGATTTTTTGGTATAAAGTAAAGATTTACCTAATTAATTCAGACAAACCTAAATATTGACTTTAATGAAAAGAATTAACTAGGCACGTGATCAAACGTGGCGGATTTGGGACGAGGAGGAGTTGTTGGGCTGTCTGCCAGGTGGCATGCAACTGACACGTGTCAGCTTATAATAATTTTGTTCCTACCAAGAAACTAATGTTCCCATCAAATATTCAAATATTCAATGTCGTTGAAATATTGATTTCTTTTATTTATTATGAGATTTTAACTTGCATTTTTATTTAACATTTTGTTAAATAAATCCTTTAAATATTATAGTATATCTTAAAGAATAAATAAATAAAATAAAAATAATTGGGCCCAATGTTCAGTTAATGGGCCTGGGCTTTCGTCTTTCTTTGAACTATTAAACCTATATATATATATATAGATATAATTTTGGAGATAAATAAACCTATAAACTTTAAAATTAAAAGCTTATTGACTTTTAAAAACTTTAAAATATATATATATTTTTCAAATTTAAATTTTTTTTTGTCTAATAAGTAATTTACTTTTTTTTTTATTCCGATATAAGTAAAATTTCATATATTAATTCACGTAATAAAATGTTAAATATGTAAGTTAGACATGTAATTAAAAGTTCATGAACTATTTAAGTTGGAGATTTTTTTTTTTTGGACTAATTCAAAATTTTGTGACATGAATAATTCCAATAATGTTTACGATCCAACCTGATTGGTTGGTTTGTCCGGTTGTTCTTCATTTTTTTAATTATTTAAAAATTATGCTTATTCACAGTATACAATCTCATGAATCTTAAATATTAAATATTCATAAGTGCACGGGTCACAAACATAAAATAATTTTAATATTCATAACAAAATAAGGTAGAACAATTTTTTGTCATGACAAAAAAGATCGATAAATTTTTCGGTGTTTTGAGTTTCTCAAAATTC